CAAGTGGATTGGCAACAGCACTTTTTTATTTATAGTCGTTATTAGGAACACGCTGCTGTCCATCTATGTCATCACGGGATGACATGGGGTAGTAGAGAATCTTATACCGCCACTGCACGGTACTATTTGCATATAACCACGTAACCGATAAATATAAAATAAACATAAATTTATATATGCAAAAAAATTTATATATAAAAAACTGTCGTGTGGACAAATTATGTCGTTATTTGTTGATGTTCTTATTGCTAATGTGTCAGAGTAAGTACAAGCATAAAATGCATAAAAATATTCTTAAATTGGACGCCAGTATATTCTAAGTCTATGCAAATTATAATATAATATTATGTACATTTATTATAAATATATATATATATATATATATATATATATTATGATTTTTTTGATTTTTTTGAGAGATTGACCGAATATGCTGTGAATATTAATGTTCCTTTCATTTTGTATACTAGATATATGTGTTTTATATAAAATAAAAACCCAAACATTAATGAATTGCTTTGGAATATCGACTAATATGACAACAGTTTATGAATTTCATAAAGTTAATTATTTTGGTGAAAGCACTCACTAAACTTGCTTACCTTTTTATACATATACATTGTACATAAATTAAAATTACTTTTGTTTATTTTCGGCATTCGTATATCGCTATCGAAAACAGGCAAAATCGTCGAGATTCGAGTCTCAGAATTGTTGAACTTTATACATATACATACACGACAAATTCCCAAGAAACCCCCCTTGCGGGAGTCTTATTCGCTCTTTAATAAATTAATTATATTCTTTCTTTTATTTAATGATTATTTTATGACGATATAACCAACTTGTTTAAGTCAACCAGCAACTATGATTTTTTTAAGCTTAAGCTTCGAGATCTCTTATACATCGAATGTCAATTTGCTATCACGTGTGTGAATTTCTGCACATGTACCCGTTATATATGAGACAGGTCTATGTTCAGCATTGAAATATTAATTAGGTTAAAGTACGGGAATAAGGATTGCATAATAGCCATACAATTTATCATGTTTATTACATACTAATTACTAATACCACTGTATCTGAGCCGTGGTAGCTCAGGCTGCGAGCTCGCTGTAAATTTCACAGTACCTACGCGAGACAGAGAAGGTAAACTCTTGAGGAAACCTACATGTCTTTTTTATAGGAAAGGGGGCAAACGAGCATACGGCTCACCTGATGGTAAGTGATTACCGCCGCCCATGAACAACTGCAACACCAGGGGAGTTGTAGATGCGTTGCCAGCCTTTTAAAAAGGAATAGGCTCTTTTCTTTAAGGTCCCCAAGTTATATCGGTCTGGAAAAATCTCTGGTGGTAGTCGATTCCACAAGGAAGTTGTGCGAGGAAGAAAACTTCTTTTAAATCGCACAGTGGTGGACCGACAGACATCCAGATGGTATGGATGGTATCGCGAATTTTGTCGCGATGTGCGATGGTGAAATTGTGCGGCTGGAATTAGTACGAACAATTCCTCAGAGCATTCCCCGTGGTAGATGCGATAAAATACGCAAAAAGATGCAACATATCTTTGCAGTGCCAGTGAGTTAAGCCGATCGGAAAGAGCTCGGTCGCCGACGATTCGAACAGCTCTGCACTTGATGAGATCAAATGGAAGAAGCTGGCACTGGGGAGCCCCACTTCAGAGATAGGAACAGTATTCTATGTGCGGCCGAACCTGCGCCTCGTAAAGTTGCAGGCGGTGAACCGACATGAAATACTGTCCCGCTCTGCTGAGCACGCTAATCTTTTTAGAGGCCAATTTGGCCTTCTCTTCCAAGTGACCACGAAACTGCACGTAATTCGGTATGTCAACGCCGAGGATTCTGATACTGGCTGAGGCAACAAGGGGAGTGCCTTGAAACTGAGGAGATACGACAAAGGGGTTCTTTTTATCATCACCAGTACTGTCTTCGCATAACAATGAATGTAATGAAGGTTTGCAACATGTCATTGATATGCAGAAGAAACAACGTTGGTGATAGCACGCAGCCTTGTGGAACACCAGCGTTAATGGGCTTGTAATCGGAGCATGCACCGTCTACTAAGACCTTGATGCTCCGATCAGCAAGAAAACTGGTGATCCAATTGCACAATTTCTCAGGAAGCCCATAGGAAGGAAGCTTTGTAAGAAGGCCTTTGCCTTCGCTATGTCCAAACTAACGGCTAACGCCTCCCCTTGGAATCTACTGCCTCCGCCCATTTATGAGTTTTGTAACCCAGAAGATCACCAGCCGAGCGACCGCAACGGAAACCGTACTGGCGGTCATTAATCAGCTGGTGATCATCAAGGTACCGCATTAGCTGGTTGTTAATAATGTCTCTGAAATTGTATATAATCCGAAGACATGTAAAGTCCGCCAACACGCTTTAGGGTAGCGCGGCTGACATTTCCTTGCTCTAAAACTCTCAGTAATGTATGCCGTATATAGTGGGACGTATATATTTAGGCTGTAAATTTAAATATTACTTTTCGCTGTATCTTATAGTAATGATACTCATACCCCCTAAAAAATCATCATCATTTTTCGCATTAATTTCAAAATAGGGGAGAAAATCATATAGGTATAAATATATGTTGGTGAAGTAAAACATAGTCAGGAAACCAGCATCTCTGTGAAAATAAAAAAAAATGTTTTCATGTCATTCTGGTAGGCCAGATCAGATCATGAGACCAGATCATTTTTTATTCTCTCCTTACCGGTCAAACTGACATACGCATATGCTTACTACACTCTAAAAATTAGTACAATTTAGTTTTTTTATGGAAAAATATATTAGGTATATCATGGAGGAAGCGAGATTGGGGCGAACATGAAATCTCCAAATTCTTATATTGAGGCTTTCGAACAGATTACAGACAGATAGAGTAAATTCGGCAGGTGATGTTCGGTATCTACTTTTAAATGCTGTTTTCATATGACCAATAAAACATTAATAATCTTGCTAATGGAGGGCCTGTATAAAAATTTTTTTCGTACGTGGTAGAGCCACGTTATTATGGTTGTAGTGACTGGGTCACCTTAACTGGAAAGGGGATCCCTTTCCAGTTAAGGTGACCCACAAAATACCAGCATAAAATAGCAGTTAAATGCTTTTGTGTTTAGTAAGGGGTGACAGCGCATCTGCATTTCGATTTTTAACAGAGGATAGATGTCTATGGGCCACAGAATCCACTAAGCATCAGCAAACAGAAAAAATTGGCACATATTTCCCTTATTTGACCCTATTCTTATTTATGGAGGGAATCCATTAGGCATTATTTTTTGTTTTCTCTGTTCAAACTGCCACTTCTAAATATGCCTTCTACTGTCAACAGAATCATCACAGATAGATTCAAAACCCCTGGCAAGCGTGGCATCACAGTACATCCTCGTAAATAGGTTGAAACGGTAACCTTATATCTTAAAAATGTTTGTTATAATACCTAGTTAAACAGAACCTCATCAAATTTTACATAATAAAATACGTAGCTAAACATACTGCGCCACCGTGAGCGTATCTCGCAAAGCGCGTCTAGCTAATTTAGAGCTGCGGAATGCGCCTAATAAGTCCGCCTGTTCAAGGCGAGGTGGAATTTGCGTTAAATTATAAAGCTTATTAAGCATCGTTCCCTTGTGTGTCGTAAGCAGCCGCAATGAAATGTTCCGTTGCCGTACTTCATCTACTACCGTCTCGCTTTTGCCTGAATTATTTACGTTGGACCGTATAAACAAGACGCGAAGACAAGGTAAAGTAGCTTCTTTTAATTAATTTAAAAATATCTTTAAATAAAAGAATTTAATGCAGTTTTACTTTTTTTTTACATTTGAGTGCTTTTTGAAGCTTCTTTACGTTTTAAGAACGAAAGCCATTTGGCAGAATCATTTTTTTAAATATAAATTTGCAAAATAGTTAATTTCCATTTACACTCTATATTTTTTGTCCATATTTTATACTACGACTGCTTATTGACACTTTACGTCGCCAGTGTAGTTGTGTCGTTAGTCGTATTTTCGTTAATAAAGTGACAAACGGTTTTTTTCATAGGATAGGCTGACATCTAGATGTATCCTCGATTACGAATCAAAATATAGATGCGTGGTCACCCCTGAGGATTAAGATGGAATGCCTCTTTTCCGGTAAAAAGGGTCTCCGTTTCTCTACACTCACCATACGAAACACAACAGCGTTATTCTACTATTTCACGCCGGCATTCTGTGAGAGCGCGGTGCTTCCACGGTCGAGCCGACCCATTCATGTTACAACTATACTACTAATATAGCTGCAACATGGCTCTACGTCTAGAAAGTCGGTGTTATGGTAGTTGGATGGCAACTGGCAACAACCCACACTCTTGGCTATGAATCGATCCACTTTATTATTCATGGTATGCCAGGGGCTAAGCTCTCGCCGTAAATTTTACAGTAGATTCTGGTGCCTGATATTAGAGCGGTATCTGCTATTAGAGCGAATTCAGTCGCGCTCCCTTTTTTATATAATAGAGAGCATGCGGCTGACCTGATTAAGTTTCTACCACCACCCATGAACAACTGTAACACCAGGGGAATCCTAGGTGCATTGGCGGCATTTAAAAAAGAGTAGGCTCTTTTCTTGAAGGCCCCTAAGTCGTATCTGTCCGTAAAAACTCTACAGTTATAGATACCTCGCTTTATACGATATCTAACCCTACCCTAAGATACTTAACATCCATAGACTAACAGCACTAAAATCTAGATAATATCAAATCAAAATTAATTTGTCTCGGGTAACACAAGATCCATATTATATGCACAAAATAGGAAAGGAAAAGCAGCTTTAATGGAATTATTTTATTCTTTTTAAGTCGACTTTTACTTTTTAATATATCATCTATTTGTTATTCTGAAACAAATTTGAATTATTGACAAATGACGTTTGTAGATGGATACCAATTTGGCTCTACCAATTTGTAAAATTTAAATTATTTATGAAGGAATAAATAATGGAGGAAGAAAGTAACGAAGGTTTCGATAAAGACCATGATGTGAATGCAAGCGAGATTGCGGCGGACATGAAATCTCCAAATTCTTATGTTGAGTCTTTCGAACAGAAGACTACTAATGGAATTCATTTATCGGCGTTCGATGTAAATTCAGCAGATGATGTTCGGTATGTACTTTTAAAAACTGCTTTTGCTTTAACGCAATCAGTAACAAACGTAGACGGAGATGACTTGTGTATAACTTTTTATGACGTATTATGCGTTAGTTTTTATTGGTCTATTTTTAATCTTCATTTCACCACCAATCAAATATATAATTTTATTAACTTGGTGTGAAACACTTTTTCCGCCTCGGAGTCCGTCTGAGCATGTAGCACCCTCTTACTCATTTCTACTGTTAAAGATCAATGCTTGCACTTCTGTTCCGGTCTGAACGGTACAGAGAAACAGTATATTTACAGAATGTAAGATATTCCATCTCAGTCTTCAGAGGTGACAACGCACCTGGAGCCTTCTTTGTTTGAAGTTGGCTGCAGGTTTCAATGTGTCCACGGATTACTGTAGCCACTTAAAATCAAGTGGACTGTAAGTTTGTTTGTCAGTTTATAAAAGCGGAGCAATTTTTTTTTTAAAAATTGTCCCGTAAACGAAATGCCAGGTGATAAGGTTTTTTTCGATAACTATATGGCCCTTGGTATTGTGATAATGTCACAATAATTCTGCCAATGTCCGGTCTTCGGTCTGTCACACCTTGTCTTGAGGCTTTCCGGTGGAAAAGGAGTTAGTGGTTATTAGGTGAGAATGTGGATAAAAACAAAGCAACTAAATATATGAATTGAGGACCACACAATATAAAGTAAAAATCTAGTTAAAGGAGGGTATTAGCCTGGGCAGGGAATATAGAATTAGGTTAAGCTAAATTTAGTACACAATAATAGGTGATAAGTTATTCGATACTATTGATTCAGCAGTTTTGGCAATAGCTTGACTGAATACGTCAACGTCAGAGAATTGGGGCTTAATTTAAAGGTGTCCAAATTATTAGTCGACCGTATCCGCAATCATGACTAAGTTACTTAATATGAAAACATAAGTCATTCAAATGAATTCCAGATTTGTTTTTGTCTAAATTTTGTAATCATATTCCGTAGAGAAGAAATGCTCAACATTGATGAAAGTCATAGTACCTAACAAGAGATGAATTTATGTTACGGTCGTTTACGTCGCTTATTTTCTGTTTAGGAGTCTGTCAGGTTTGGTATTTCTTTCTTCCGTTTTCCTGCTGCGACATAGCACTGCATGCACTATACTATTGTCTCGGTTTGAAGGACGTGGGAAGTATTATTACAAACTGAGGAATTTTCTCTTAGTTTCCTGTATCAGTTTTTCTTTGTTTCAAGTATGTTAGGGGCGTCCATTGGCTGCAAAAACACCTTACCAATAATAGGTGGATTGTATTCTAAATCTAATATCGTATAACTCGTAGTACGTTTGACCTCATGCGAACTAACACTAGCTAAGGCGTCCTTTTGATCAACCATCATCTCATATGATGACGTGGACCGGTCAACTGGGTATACACATTACGACTTTTCTCAAGAATATTATGACCTGTATTTTATTTGATGATGATAGCTGAAAGGAAAGTTTAAAAAATGTTAAGAATATTGAACTCTCATATGATTGTTGTACTCATCTGTAGTTTGATTCTGTTTTGAATATACCTCTGTATAACATTTTTTGTATTATTGACCTTTAGGAAGACAATGCGATGTGTAATGACTGGCGAAGATATGTTATCTTCGAATAATAACGAAGCTAGTGAAAATCGAAGGGAAAAAGCTGGCCCGTCTGTCGCTAAGAGTAGTGAAAATCCTGTATCGTTAACGGATAGAACCCCCAAAGAGTCGAATTCCCGAAGTTTAAAGAAGAAATCCATTCGTGTGCCCAAGACCACACCAATGAAGTCCAAAAAAGATATAATTAATAATATTTATGTAGGGAAGCTCTCGAATCTTGTCTGTTTTAGGCGTGGAGTTAACCTTTGAGTTTTATTATGATTTTATTTTTATTAAATGTTATGGCGTTTTGAACTCATTATTTTTTTGTAATTTAATGACGTTGGTATATACTTAAGCAACCCGAGGTCGATGTCCGCTCAAATGTATGAAATTGTTACTTGCAATTTTAAATGCTGATTTATCAAGTGCTCTGTTATGAAGAAAAATACCGTGCGCGTATTTATGTGAAAATAATTTAATAATTTACATTTTTTTATTCAAAGAAATGACAATAATTTAATAATTTAAATTATTTTCATTTTTTGAAGTTGCGGCTATTACTTTTAATAAAAGTTTAATTTTCAACCCTTTTGAGGGGAATATCACAAGCTCAAGATAAGAAGTTAATCTCGTCTTAAGTCTTTCAACTCCTATTATTCCAACCTCAGGGCCGGAAATTATTTTCTCCAAATATACATGAGACTACCCCTGAAATATACTCGTAATCTATATAATCTATTAACGAAAAGAGTAATTTATATTCACTGTTGTTAAATATATCGCGTAATAATTATTTATGGTTTATAAAAACTATAGACACACCCTAAATATAAAATTATTTTATCCTGGAGATACTTACCTACTGATCAGGATACTAGGAGACTAGTAGATCAACGGAGACTAGCCATAGGCGCAGGACAGGATTATAGTGCCCAAGTGAGCGTAAGCACAGGTGCACTCTCTATTTCCTTACTCTCATGGTCCAATGGGACGGTAAACCGACACAACCGGAGAGAGATCAAGCCAACAGCTTTACGTGCTTTCCGAGGCAAGGGGGTGACACACCGCAAACTTCCTGACTCCGGGCAGCTACTGAGAATTTCTTAATGGAAAAACTCAATAACTGATAAGAATAAGGTTATTAAATTATTATATTGTCAATATATAAAATGCATATTTTCAAGTTAATCGACCGTCTACAAGTTAGTGAAAATTACATTTAAATTTTGTTACATAGATATATAAATTAAGTACTCGCGATGCTAATAAAAGCGCTTATATATTTTTATTAATTCCTATTATTCGGTGTCATTTCGATGCACAAGTTTCGCTTAGCGTCTGCCCCGTCAGCTCCGATCGTTGATCGTCGCTATCGTGCCTCGGCTATCTCTTAGCGGATCGTTTCATATCGGAAATTGAATTTCCGATTGGCCCCGCAGCGGACTCTGTAATAGACTGCAACACGGTCCCTGTTTCGTGGGATACGATTCAATAAAAACGACACGGGCGATGTGAAAGTTTATAAGTAAAACAATTTTCGCTATCGGAATAATTTTTATTTATTTTAGTGGTATATCAGTGGCCAGGCCTTTGCCTGAACCGACCGACCGAATTTCGGTCATGACGGCCAGCCTTAACGGAGACTAGCCATCGGCGCAGGACAAGATTATAGTGCCCAAGTGTATGCGCAAGAACAGGTGCACTCTCTACTCCCTCACTTTCATAATCCGATGGGACGGTAAACCGACGCGACCGGAGAGAGATCAGGTACAGGATCAATGGCTTTACGTGCTTTCCGAGGCACGGGGGTGAGACAGCTACTGAGAATTTCTTGACGAAAAAACTCAATAATTGATTTTTTGTCCAGACCCGGGATTCGAACCCAGGACCTCGTGATCAGCAGTATCACTATTATATTAAACTAATAGGCCAACGAGGCAGTCAAGGCTTCAAATTACCTAGTAACCGAGCAATTTGAGTTTTTTTTTAATAAAAGTAAAGATGACAGACGAGTACGCCATCCACTTGGTTGTAGCTGGACGCTGTGTTCCATTGTCATCCAAATCTATCCTGCATTAAGAATTAACTATTGCACGTTTTATTTGTGCAAAATATTGCACAAATTGACTAATAAGTCACCTCTAATAAGTTTCATTTTATTCATCAGAGGTGACTAAGTTCTCAGTATGGCGATATATATCTTACATACCATATAAGGCTGCCGACCTCATCTGTCCTCCACTGTCTTCTCTCGAGAGTAGTTTCACAATGTACTATGTATTAAAAGTACATAGCGGAACTAAAAAAAATTGGAGTAACAAAGGTGCTGTAATTGGAAATGTTATTTCTAAAAATAGAAATCAGGACAACCAGTGACGAAGTGCACTCTGGAAATAACATAAAACAAAGTTATAAAAATTATAGTACTGACTTTGTCCAATCCTCGTTTTCTGTCCAATCTGTTCTCCTTTAGAACGCTCGTCCTCCCACAATCAGGAGGGCCGAAAACCGGATTTTGTTTAAATCCAAAGTTCAAAAACTTCTTGTAAATAAAATGGCAGAATCAACTCAGCGTTCTAAGTTAACTTTGTTTTATAAAATATATATATATATATATACAGGGTTACTGGTAATTCGACGTATTCCCGCCAAGGCGTGATAGTTGGGGTCATAACCTATCAAATGAACCATAAAATGCATTATGCAAATGTGGGCCAATTTCGAGATATTTAGGTTTAATTATTTTTTTTCAAAAATCCCAAAAAGTCTGGTGTCAAAAATTTCTAAAAAAAAAACTTACAGCTGCATTATTTTCATTTTATTATTTTTACTTAATGAAAACCTGGATACTTATTTATCAATACTACAGTGTGCAAAAAGTCTCATCATTTCAGTAACGCTACTAAAAGTACAACTTTTTCCAAACAAAAGATAAGTAATTAAAAATAAAAATCATTTTGTGAAAAATAATTGTATGTGACCAATTGTGCAAATAATGTTAAAAACATCCCTACTTATCTAGCTACCCAACGAAGTATCAATTTAGCTTGTAACTTAAATAGTACAGAAAAAACTTGAAAAAAAAGGGGTCAGGTAGACAAGCTCCGATTAGCAATGTTTGGGTAATCCCAAACAATCGCTTCTCGGAACCTTATCAACAGCTGCGTGAATGCTCGTAAAAGATTGTGCGTTTGAACTTACGCTATTGTTTACATTTAGTGTGAAATTAGAAACAAGTTAAACAAGAAGAAACTGTTCAATCAATCATCAGTATTACAGGCATCGTACACACGCGCGCATATCCCTCCCTGTTACACTTAAAGAAGTTGAGTTTCAAAGTTTTATGGCGGCGGAACCACCAAGACGCGGAGATCATGCAAGGCAATCATTTTCCAACGAGGAATACGCAGATATCTTTTATCTCTATGGATATTATGACGCTGCAGCCGCTCGCCGTGAATACCTACAGCGCTACCCTAATCGCCGACCACCCCATGTCACAGTGTTAGTGCAGTGTATCGTAGATTACGAGGGACTGGGAATGTTCAAAGGCAACAACGTGATGCTGACAGGCCAAGTGGCATACCGCGTGCGGAAGATGAAGAAATTTTGAGTAAATTTCAAGAAGATCCAACCACTTCCACGAACACAGTTGCTCGTCGCTTAGGTGTATCGCAGTGGAAGGTCTGGTCTACTGTGCATACTGCAGGGTTTTATCCGTACCACTACACACCAGTGCATGTGATGGAAGGAGATCCAGTTAGAAGATTGGATTTTTGTAGATTTATGTTGAACGCAGATGCAGAAGATCCAATGTTTTTTAGAAAAATATTGTGGACTGATGAGTCGAAGTTCGATCAAGACGGTATTACAAATTACCATAATTCACATTTTTGGGCTCCAAAAGAGCAAAGACATCCTGAAAAAAAGAGACCTTCTAAATCACAAAGAAGATTTTCACTAAATGTTTGGATGGAGATTATTAACGACAATTTAATTGGGCCTTATTTTCTGCCAAACTATTTAAACGGCGAAAATTATGAAACATTTTTAAGGGAGGACTTATCCGGATTGTTACACGATGTTCCTCTCGCCACAAGGCAAAACATGTGGTATCAACATGATGGGTGTCCTGCGCACTGTCGTGTAACTGTGCGACGATGGCTGGACGAAAATTATCGACATCGGTGGATTGGCAGAGGAGGACCAATTTCATGGCCAGCAAGGAGTCCTGACATAACACCGATGGGTTATTATGTCTGGGGGCACATAAAGAGCATCGTGTACTGCGACAATGTGCCAGTGCCGACCCTTGATCAACTGAGAGACCGCATTATCAACGCGACAAACGACATAAGACTTACCCTCAAACTCACTCACACACATAAGACTTAACCTCAAACGTTATTAAAAGCGAATTAAGAAAACGAATGCGTGTCTGTATACGGAATAGGGGCTCCCATATTATTTTATTATATTATTATAAAATAAATAAAGCTAATTTCAATCAAGTGCTTTGTTTCATTTCCTTAATTAATATTGGTTAAAAATAAAACACGAATTCCTTTGTCTTTTTAGAACTCGACTACCTGACCTCATTTTTTAAATTTTTTTTCTGTTTCTATATAAGCAAACTACAAAGTTGATACTTCATTAGGTAGCTAGATAAATAGGGATGTTTTTAACATGATTTGCACAATTGATCACATACAATTATTTTTCACAAAATCATTTTTATTTTTAATTACTTATCTTCTGTTTGGAAAAAGTTGTACTTTCAGTAGCGTTACTTCGAAAATGATGAGACTTTTTGCACATTGTAGTATTGATAAATAAGTATCCAGGTTTACATTAAGTAAAAATAATAAAATTAAAATAATACAGCTGTAAGTTTTTTTTTTAGAAATTTTTGACACCAGACTTTTGGGATTTTTGAAAAAAATAATTAAACCTAAATATCTGGAAATTGGTTCACATTTGCATAATGCATTTTATGATTCATTTGATAGGTTATGACCCCAACTATCACGCCTTGGCGGGAATACGTCGAATTACTAGTAACCCTGTATATATACACATTTTCAGTGTATATGAAGTTAAATAAATAAATAAATGCAAAATTCAATTTAATTGTCAGAAGAAAATTTTCTTCAACTGCTTTTATGTTATAACACGTCCCGGGCGTTGTTTGAACATGTTTAGACGGCTAATGTAATGTGCAGTTTGAGAAATTGGGTTTGAGACGCGATCAGCCCGGATGGGGGTTC